CCGCTCCAAAGCCGACGGCAACTGCTCCGACAGCCTGTCCTTCTCGGGGCTGCTGAACGCCATCGACGGCATCGGGGCGCAGGAGAAGCGCATCCTCATCATGACCACCAACCACATCGAGCGCCTCGACCCCGCGCTCATTCGCCCGGGCCGAATCGACTACCGCCTGCTTCTGGACCGTGCCACCCGGAGCCAGATCGCGCGGCTCTTTCTGCGCTTCTTTCCGGATTCGCCCTCGGCAGATGCTGACCGGTTTGCGTCGGTGTTTCGGGAGCGGGCGGTGAGTCCGGCTTCGGTGCAGGGCTTGCTGCTGCTGCACAAGGATGACGCTGCTGCTGCTCTGGCTGCTGTTCCTGCCTTTGCTGAGAGCAGTGGCGCATCTACTTTTGACTCTGCTGCTGTCGTCCTTCCTGCTGATGCTGCAGCCAGTGACGGTGATTCTGTTTCTGCTGCTGCTCCTGCTCATCTTGCTGCTGCTGCTTCTGCCGTGGATGCTACAGACTTAAGCACCCCCATGTCTAGCAGCCTTTGTGGCAGTGGCTGCAGCAGCAACAGCAGCCCCAGCAGAGAGGCGGATGCTCCTTGTGCTGACAGCCCGCTCTCAAACAAGGGTGGAGATTGTGTTGCAGGTGATGGGGGGGCAGTGAAGTGGTGGATTCCAGTGGAGGAAGCAAGTGAAGGGGGAAGTGAGGAGAAGGGAGAGGGGAGTGTGGAGCAAGGGAAGGGGGGTTGGAGGAAGTTGGGGGGAGAGGTGAGCAGGAGGGTTTTGTTCCACTTGGGGGCTGCACGGTTTGGGGTGCGCGACTTGGTGTGGGGTAGGAGTCGTGGGAGGCGGTTGAAAGGAGAGTAACATGGGAGGAGTCTAGGGTGGGAGAGAACAGCACTCGGTCAAATATCCCACAACTCGGATACGGTAAATGAGTTGTGACCGACTGACACGTAGATAACTTATTTACGGCCTTCGCTGCTTGTGTCATGGCATGGCAACTCGCCACCGTGTTATTTAGGCTGGTGTAGTGCCTGTAATGTTTTTTGGGTGGGTGTCCTGCAACCTGAGATACCTGCTTTTGCAGCAGCAGCGTAACATCTATCTTGTGAGGGTTGACTCAGTTCTCTTGCAACTGTATTTATTATGATTAAATCTCTGAAAATGCCTTGGTAAATCTGATGACTGAAGTGAAGTAGCTCTGCCAGCAGGTTGGGCCAGAGTTTGCCCGTTCTTAAGTGTATCATGATACTGTACGTTTGCAAATCGTCTCTTGCATTGTCAAGGAACTTCTGTGTCTACCACGGAAAGTAGAAACCGGAATTGTGGCTGTGTGGGTGAATACGTGAAAAGACTGTAAGGAACAGAACCATGTCAGCAAAGCTCTGACTTGCCCATATCTCCCACTTCTGTTCCTGAAAGCTCTTAATCGCCAAAAAGGTTGGGCTTTGTTCCTTTCTCCTGTCCCTACAGTCTCCGAAGACTCTTCTTCCTCGCATCCACCTTCTTTTTCTCATGCCCAACTCTCGCCCCATTCTCCCCCTTGCTTCCGCCACTGCACAGCCCCCCACTCGACCCTGCGGCTGCCCCACCCCCCCCTCCTCCCTCTGCACCTCAGCATTGGCGATGGAGCGGTTGGGAGCAAGCGGCGCACTCCCACCAGTGCCACCAGCCACAAGGCCCGAGGGAGACACGCAGACGGCAGCAGCGGCAGAATCTGCTACTTCTGCAGCAACAGCAGCGGCGGCGGCAGCAGCGGCAGCAGCCCCGGTGAGGTGGTCAGAGGCAGAGACACTCTGGCGAAGGATGTGCTGATTGCAGGAAGGCTGTTGACCCGGTTGACCTGGCTGACCCTGTTGACCTGGTTGACTTTGTTGAGTACCTGTATGCTGGGGCATGGACTTGGACCGGCTCATGCTGACACCAGTGGCTGCTGCTGCTGCTGCTGGGGCGTGGATGGAGGTGAAAAGGCGCGCGTGCTTGGCGTAGGCTTCATAGTCTTCCAGCAGCAGCTTGCCTGCATCCTCGTTGAGAGCTGACTCGGGATAAGGCTCAATCAGCAGGCAGCGAACAACCTGCACGAACAGTTCCAGAATCAGCGCAGTGACATTCGAATGCTTGTGCATGATTCTTAAGAAGTACGAAAACAAAATCGTACACCCAAGTAGTCTTTGAGCGAGTGGGTAGAGCTTACAAGGAGCACGTGGCGCAAGCCGAGGCATGGCTTCCAGTCCTTCTTCAGAATGTTGACGCATATCTCGCCGTTTTTAGCCACGTTCGGGTGGAATATCCGAGTCACAAAGAAGCCCTTCGGCGGAGCGTTTGGGAATTCCGGACCCAAGACCAACTTCATGCGGAAAGCTCCGCCTTCATAAGGTGTACCGACTGCGGGTGAAACAGAAAGAACAGGAAAGGAGGAGTCATGTATGCCAGAGTGGGGAATCCAAAATCCGTGTCATTCTGATACGCGTTACGCTCATAGGGCTATGACCGAACAGTCTAAATCATCAAGGCGAACCCTCAAGAACAGAGTCACCCCTTAGGCCTAGAATTTGCATGTTACCTGGTCCCTCGATTTCCGCATGGACGGTTGAGATGTTGTCATCGTTCAGGAGCACGCGTATGCCTTCTGGAGGCGAATCCTGGAGCGAGCGAAGCTCCTTAACTATCACCCGAACCACCTTAAGTGGCAGATTCTCATTGGATCCTACTGGAAGAACCACAGCCTGGAGGATAGGGCAAGTGCGATGAAGGTAATGATGGTTAGTTGTAGTAACGATAAACTAGATAAAATGTCAACAATATTCGGGAGAAGACAAGGCCTCCGGTCTGTGGTACTGTACCATTATTAAACGAAGGCCTTCTGAGGTTGAATTCGGTTTAGCTGGAGCAAGAAACGACTGGCTTTCCCAGGTGAGGCGAAGATGACGTCGGAGAGCAACAACAGGGACTCGGCCTTATTAATGCTTTACATCCCCGACTTCGAGAGTTTCTCAGAGACAGGAGCTAGGCCGTGGACTAACAGACAGCGGCTGAAAAGGCTAGGGCTGCGACAACTACTCGACAGCGCACTGCGTTGTGACTAATCCACTTATCCACGAGCTAATCAAGCGGGGGAGTTTGGACAGCGACGCAGAAGCAGCTCACAAAGAACGATGGCAATCAGTATAATAGGGACGACGTCAGCTTTTGGCAACCTTGGTTTTGCCAGGGAGCTTCAACTACGTGCGGTTAGTTGGAGCTTGAAGGAAGGGGCCTCCATAACCTCGGTCCTGTAGAGAGACCTTGGAAGAATTCTAGTATTACGGTTCAGTGCGTTCCTCTGCGTTTTTAAAGCAATCATTCAAACAAAAGAACGGTTTAGGTAACTCAAAAGTTGGACCTAGAAAGTTGGCACTGCTTGCTCGGTGGTGCTTCTACAGTTCTGCAGCGCGAGAGTCGGTTCGGTACGGTACTTGTTCGACAGATTTCACTTGGGAGAGCTACTCTTTGCTGGATTCGCCTGGTGCTGGTAGGGGGGAAATGGAGGGAAGAAAGGCGGGCTTTGGGTCATTTGGCGCGTGTCAGAAAGCCAGGGTGTCGAAGGCGAAAATGTGAGGCGACGATTCCACCTTCAGTTGACAGACAGTAGCGAGTATGGATCGCATGCCCGACTTACGGTTCACTGTTAAAATGTTACGTGTCTACCTTGTTGTTATAGTGCACTATGTATGGCTATCACACCCATGTGAACATCATTAGTACTTAGTTGATCCAACGAGAATTCCAAACGTGAGAATCACGTAATCCTATAATTCACAATATGAATTATGGATGTAGTAGATGGTTCGGCTTATGGGACATGGCATCAGCATGATATGGTTGTATACCTTATTGCGTATATGTCGTATTCTTCTCTTGTGGAAATTGTTGAAGCGAACCAGAGGGGCTTCAGATACGGTATAACACAGCAGGTTGAAATTAATAAGGAATGTATATTATTGAGACATAAACAAGAAAGACTGGATGAATGAACCATCTAGGACCCCAAGAAGCGATGGCTCAACTTTACAAGATGTGTGCTTATGTATCAACCCGCACTTTTGTGAAGTGTTTTTTGTTTGTATTTATATTAGCACTTGGAACGAAGTTGCTTTCAGGCAGGCATGGCTGGCACGTTCTCGCCACACGACGAAACCCGAAGGCGCTTGGAGTTTTGGTTTGTTGACAAGCCTGAGGGTTCACGTCTCTCACAGCTAGTAGGTTCGGTAATTTACTTGCGGCTGCTGGCAAGCTCGCTAGGCGCATACCAATGATCGATAGACACGGCATCCAAAAGGATAGCCAGCTTGTAGCCTCAAGTGGTCCATACCAAGAACACTATTTCCCAAACGTGAGCGCCAATCACGCTATGAGATTAGCGTCTCAGTTTCGTCAATCTCGCTTAGCGGACGGCTGACAATGGTCGAGGATGCTTCGGGGTGTCCGTTCGAGTGCGACCTTCAGGCCGCGGTGCCCTTTGTGTATGGTTTGAAAGAGGCTCGGCGCTCAAACGAGAGAAGAAACCAGAATATAATGCATAAAACCGTTCTGCAAGCGACTACAACACTGGAACCCATTTTCCTTTTCCAGCCTGTGGCTCGAAAACCCATTGCCCTCATCACGGAGTTACCGATGGTTTCGGAGCGTCTTTCAAGACAACAAGGCGCGAATTGCGAGCAAAATTTTTGACGGACATTTTTTACCGCAAGTCGCCTCGCCTTTGTGCCGCCTTCGCCAACCGAGGGCAGCCCGCGCGCCGCACCTCTTCGCGGGCGGACGAATTTCGTTTTGATCAATTTGACTCGTCCCTCCGCCTTTTCGCCCCGCAAACATTGCAATTCCCGACCGGCGTCGCGTTCATGTCGCTTCCATTTGTCCCGTCACAGGAACATCCAGCACAGCCCGCTTGAGCAACCCACACGACTAACGAAACGACTGGGTTGCTGTAAACGGGCACCCACTTTACAGCAACCCAACACCTTGGTTTTCATGCCGCCCACTTATCTCCCCCAACCCGAAGACAGGACACCCTTCTGTTTGACACGTTCTCCTTACCCTCCCCCTCATTTCCCGCACTGCCCAGCTCATCGGCTACGGGCGCGCTAGCACCCTCGTACCCCCATCGTACCCTTGCTTCCCCCAGATTGCTCCCCCCTCGTTAGCGCCTTGCTTAGCGACAGCAGTTCATATAATCGAAACAATCCCATAAGCCTCTTTGGCCTCAATTCCCGACCCAGGGTTTCGAGGTAATCTGTTTTGCAGCCACCATCAGTCTAATGTGTCAGGTCTACGAGACAAGTTACCTTTTAGCTCTCACCTCTTAGTTGCTTAGTTCCTAGCCAGTCTTGCCGCTGGCGCTGCCTAGGGTTAAGAGTGCATCGGCGCTCACTCGGGTCAAGAGCTGCGGAGGTATTAGCAGCGGCTGTAGCAGCTGCAGCAGCTGTAGCCGCTGTAGTGGGGGGGGCACTCAACCCGGCGCCATGGTGGGCAGTCCAACGCCGGTTCTCGCGAAGCTGCTGCCGGCGGCCGGCGGGCTGAAGGGCGGCGGATCTAGCGGAGACGAGTTCGAGAAGCTTCGGAGCAACTCGTTCGTGCAGCGATCCGCTCGGACCATGGGATGGCTGCAGGCATCGTGTCTCAGTCTGTTCGTCTTCGTCATGTGAGTGCGAATACGCTTCCGAGACGCCTCGAACCGCAGACGCACGCGGCCATCGTGACACGAACCGCGGACGCCTCCAAGTCTCTTCGAATTGCACGCCACGATATTGGGAGAGTCATGGTCGAAGGTGCAGAGGTAGAAAGGGTCCGCAGAGGAAACTGGCGTTCATGCGCAAGGCTACGCGTTCATGCGCAAGGCTACGCGTTCATGCGCAAGGCTACGCGTTCATGCGCAAGGCTACGCGTTCATGGGGGAGCGCAAGGCTACGCGTTCATGCGCAAGGCTACGCGTTCATGCGCAAGGCTACGCGTTCATGCGCAAGGCTACGCGTTCATGCGCAAGGCTACGCGTTCATGCGCAAGGCTACGCGTTCATGCGCAAGGCTACGCGTTCATGCGCAAGGCTACGCGTTCATGCGCAAGGCTACGCGTTCATGCGCAAGGCTACGCGTTCATGCGCAAGGCTACGCGTTCATGCGCAAGGCTACGCGTTCATGCGCAAGGCTACGCGTTCATGCGCAAGGCTACGCGTTCATGCGCAAGGCTACGCGTTCATGCGCAAGGCTACGCGTTCATGCGCAAGGCTACGCGTTCATGCGCAAGGCTACGCGTTCATGCGCAAGGCTACGCGTTCATGCGCAATGCGCAAGGCTTTAAATCGCCAAAGGAAGTAGCCGAGTCGAGGTGGCTACTCTAGTTTTAGAGGTAAGCTTCGTGGATCGCAGGCAGGCAGTTCTGGAACGCTACGGAACGGACTCGACACTTATGTGCCGTCTCGCAGGAGACGCTATGCCGTTTCAATGCATGCGATCCGATCAACGAGTTTGAAGACCACCGGTCGCAAGGAACCTCTCTGAAACCCGTTGTCGTTTCCGTGGCTATTGTTACCAAAGCGCGCCAGCAAACAAGCGACATATTGCACTTTCCGCTTACCGTTCCGTCCTTTCCGTCTCTTTCCGTCATTTCTGCCCGTTCTTCACAATTTCAGGGCCGTCGGCATCTTGACGCGCTCTCCGCCGCAAATGGCGGGGATGCTGGATGCGGAGCTTCCAACGTGGGGAAGCGCGGCGTGGGAGCACCAGGTGCTTCTGTCGGCAACACCGAGGGCTGGCGGAATGGTTGTGCTGGTAACGGGCGCAGCAGGCTTCGTGGGCTCGCACACGTCACTCGCGCTAAAGGAACGCGGCGATGGTGTGGTGGGAATTGATAATTTCAACAGCTATTATCCCCCGGCGCTGAAGCGCGCACGGCAGCAACGCCTCGAGAGCAAGGGAGTGTAAGTTAGTGTGAAATGCTCATATGTATGTAAATGCTGCAGATTTTGTGATACTCGTTTGTTCTGTGCATCCTAGTGTTACGCGTGTCTCTCACTCTTCCCCCAGTTTGTTTTTCGGTCGCGTGCGAACAGGTTCATCGTCGATGGCGACATTAACGACGCAGTGTTACTGGCGAAACTTTTCGAGCTCGTCAAGTTCACGCATGTGCTACAGCTCGCGGCGCAGGCCGGTGTTCGTTACGCCGTTGTCAACCCCCTCGCGTACGTCCACAGCAACGTCGCAGGCTTCGTCACGCTTCTCGAGCAGGCCAAGGTAACATACATTTCGTCAGAACTCGCACCCGTGAATCAATTTCATAATCCGGCCCTACCACGCGACTCGCACGACTCGAGCTCATTTCCCCTTTTCCTTTCCCGTCGCTCCCCCTGCCCTCGCTTTGTCCCCAATAGAGCGTGGATCCTGCCCCCGCTATAGTCTACGCGTCGTCCAGCAGTGTGTATGGGCTGAATTCGAAGGTGCCCTTTTCGGAGGATGACCGCACGGACCGCCCCGCGAGTCTGTACGCCGCTACTAAGGTGATTAACTATCAAGTTGGAATTCCCGGTTAAGCAGGGGGGGCCGGGCTTCTGCCAGTCGCTCTACTTTTCTTCACCTCCCATTCGCCTCCTGAACGCTTTAAGTACTAATTCTGGCTCTCTCGTTGCTGCCCGCTCAGAAAGCGGACGAGGTGCTGGGCCACACGTACAACCACATCTACGGGCTCTCGATCACGGCGCTCCGGTTCTTCACGGTGTATGGCCCGTGGGGCCGCCCGGACATGGCCTACTTCTCGTTTGCGCGCAACATCATGGCGGGCAAGGTGAGTCTGTTACCTCCTGGTTGTAACAGAACCGCATGTTTAGCCTAACAAAAACTTGCACTCTTTCCTGCCCCGCCTCTGCTGCGTCTTCTGAAATGCTGGAAATCACTGTTTGACTTGCTCCATCTCTGACCCTCCTACCACACATCCCTTCCCACTTGTCCCCCCTCTCCCATTCCCCTTGCCCCCTTCCCCCCCCCCCCCCCCACCCCCCCCCCCCTCCCCCCCCAATCGCAGCCAATCAAGATCTTCCGCGGGCCCAAGGGCGAGGAGCTGGCCCGTGACTTCACGTACATCGACGACGTGGTGAAGGGGTGCCTCGGCGCGCTGGACACGGCGGAGCCGAGCATTGGCGCGCAGCAGGCGCAGAAGAGGAAGGGCAAGAAGCGCCGCGCGCAGTTCCGCGTTTTTAACCTCGGAAATACCCAGCCCGTGAAGGTCGGGGAGTTTGTTGGGATCCTGGAGAACCAGCTGCAAGTGAAGGCCATTCGCAAGTAAGTGATTCGTTAAACATTGCTCCTGGTTTTGGTCTTCCTGTATATTGTTCCATGTGGTTTTTGGTATTGATGCTAAACCTGCTGATGCTGCCTAATCCTTCTGATGACAGGGTTATTCCCATGCCGAGCACTGGAGACGTCATGTTCACACATGCCAATATCACACGTGCTGCCCGTGAATTCAAGTGAGTTTAGTCAGCAAATAGCCCCTCTTGCCTGTTTTCTGTCAATCATATGCCAAGTCCTGTCTTTGGTGCTTGTGTGTGTGTGTGTGTTTTCTTTTTCTTTTTCGTTTCTTTATTTTTTCTTAATTTGTTCAACAAACTCCCCCCACTTTCCCATGTCATGGCCATCCAGCTACCAGCCAACGACTGACTTGGAAACCGGGTTGTCAAAGTTTGTGCAATGGTACAAGTCATACTACCGAGAAGGGAGTGGCAATGAGCATTCCCTTGATGGCTACAAGCCTTACTGACTAGGCTATAATCCAAACTTATCAATTATGTTTGGACTATTGTAGTTTAGTGTAGTTATAGGAGAGGCTTTTAGGCAAAATAGCATACACTTGTATGCCCAATAATTGGGCTTCTGAGGAGTAGTTTGTCTTGAATTGAAGAAAGATTTCAAATTGTTATAATTGGCACATGTGGTCAACAAATCAGGGATAATTCAACTATATGTAAAACCAATAGATTAGCCTGTCCTTGGTGTAGTAGGCGTTTGGTGCTTGTCTGGTGTGCAAGCAAAACCGTGTCCCTTGATGAAAGCACTTTTTGGCTGCACCTTCACGTCTGTTAGAACAGCCTGAAAACAGCTGTCGCAAAAATTTGTCACTGTTGAGGTAGGTAGGAGCTGTCAGTATGTGCGCTCATTCGGGACAGATGTGTACCGTCGATTAGGAAACGAACGGTGAAGGATGAAAATTTGCTGCCTGTCGTGTTCTGGCGCCACGGGCATGTGGTGCAGGCCAAGGCATGCGCCACTCAAAATGCAAAGAGTTGCGTGATCTCCGCAAATTATGGATATTCATTCGGTTCAAAAAATTAGCACGCTGTTGTTGAGTTTCGAAACATTGAGCTTGCGTCTGGGACCCATGCACGAGATAAGGATTTTGCATAATTTATTACCATAAAGCATTACAGAGCTTCGCGGAAAAGTTTGCCTCAGCCCGTCGAACACGAAAGCCAACCTGGCCCGGCCAGTCCAAACCAAGCCCGAACCACTTGTTTGCAGCGGCAAAACCTGGACGCATCTGAAGTTTGCTGAGCTAATGGGGGACTGCGTTCCCTTCTGCTTCCCCATGCGCGATCCATTCCACCACCATCTGTATCTTCACCGAGCCGACCCGCCCAACTTTGGGCAGCACTCTTCTCCCGCATTTACCAGCGCTCATACTGGTCTCTGCGCGTCTCTTGTCCATCCATTTGTCATGCTCCTTGTCCCACCCACTGCACCTCGAATTGCTGCTGCTGGTATTTCGGGCTTGTTACACTCGTGATTTTGTCCCTTGGCTCATCAGTCAAACACTCTCACCTCGTCGCGTTCCGCTACCGCGTTTTCCAGCCTCTCAGCTCAATTCGCCGACCTCGAGTTTTCCTCGTGCATTTCCCGCCGACTGTGTTTCTAGTACCGCTAGTGCACCCATCAGCTCTCGGGCATAACCTTAGGAACCTCTTTCCTTGGCAAGGCCTTCTATCATCGTACCTTATCGACCTGGTCCGCACCCGTGTTCCTTCAATAGCTAAGAGCTCGCTCTAGAACGCCAGACCACTCGTGACCTAGCTTACCAGCAATACGGCTGCCATCCTTCCATATCCACTGCTGCCACGTACAGTCTCCCACCATGAGGGAATATAAGCGACGCTCGTTGAGTTCCGACCTCCAGAGAGAGCCACAGCCCAGTCGCTCGCTCAGCTCGAACGCGTTCCGCAAGTCCTCAGTGCTCCTGAGCCAGCTATCCGCGCCATCGTTCCCGGCTTTCCAAGCCGTCTGCGACACTCCGCGCGGGCCCTGCCCGCGTTCGCGCAGCCTTTTCTCGGACACGAGCGATGTCGCATTGCCGTCGGCGATTTTCGCCAGCGACTCTGCAATCGCTGCCTGCGCTGGCGACTCACCGTGTGATCGTTCGAGCCAGGGCAGTAGCGCGTGTCTGTCGCGCAACAACAGCAACGCCAGTCGCACGTGCGACGAGCCAGAGATCATCAGCCCCAAGTTGCGACTACCGACGTCACGCGAGTTCAGTCGCTTGCGACTCTGCTCGTCGGAGGCGGGCCCCAGCTCGTCACTCTTTTCGCGAAAAGTCGCCTCGCCGTTACGCAAGCGAGACGACAACGCGCGACTGAAGCGAAAACGGCCGCCCATGCTCAACATCCCCGCAAAGGATTCCTTCTCCGCGTCCCCGACAACGACGCCGGGAAATACGCCGGGTAACACGCCGGGAAGCACGCGCGCGAGGGAGGCGGAGGAGGCGGCGAGCGAGCTCGTCGCGGTGGGGCCGTCGTACGCCGTGATGTGCAAAAAAGGGCGGCGCGAGTTCATGGAGGACGCGTACCAAGCCATCCCCCAGTTTGGCACGTCCCCCGGCAATGTGAGTATCCGTGCTGCGCGCCGATGCATGTCCCACCGCATGTCCTTGTCCTACCGCATGTCGGCTCGTATGCTGTCAAATTTCCCCCGTATGTCCCCTCCTATCGCTCTATGCTGGCATGCCTTGTTCTCGATTGCCTTGTCCCACCCCTCAATGTCGCGTTAATTATTATTTTTCGGCCTTCCCGTCGCCAGGCCTTCTTCGGCGTGTTTGACGGCCATGGCGGCACCATGGCGGCGCGATTCGCGGCGGGCAACATCGCGGGGAACGTGTTGAAAGCGGCGCAGCAGGGCGCAGAGAGCGCGGAGGCAGCTATGGTGGAGGGCTTTAAGGAGACCGATAAACAGTTTTTGCAACAGGTAGCGTGGCCACCTTGCTATCTTATGGCCGTCAACTTTTCCTTTCAAGTCGTCCTCCTGTCGTTTCTGTTTCTGTTTTTGTTTTTGTTTTCCCTGGCGATCTGATAGTCCGCGTTGTTACACTTTCCCCTTCTGTTCTACTCCGGATTATTCCGACGCTCCTGTTGCTCAATCCGTCACCGTGTATCTCCTCTCACCACGTGTCTCCGCAGAATCTGGGCAGCGGCGCGGCTGTGGTGACGTGTTGGGCTGCTCCCGGTTCACTCCACGTGGCACACGCAGGCGACTGCCGCGCCGTGTTGTGCCGAAAGGGCGCGGCGAATGTGCTGACGTCAGATCACAAGGCATCGCGGGAAGACGAGCGCGACAGAATCGAGAATCTGGGAGGTCACGTAGACAATTTTACGGGCACATGGCGCGTGCAGGGGGTGCTGGCTGTTACAAGAGGCCTTGGCGATGCTAACTATAAGGAGTACATCACGCCGGAACCAGAGGTCGTGCATGTACCCGTTACAAAAGACTGCGACTTCCTTATAATGGCGTCCGACGGCCTCTGGGATGTGGTGAGTGCACTGCTCCTATAAATGCCATTTTCCCTTCTCCCGCTCTTTCATTTCAGCCCAGACTCAAAAGGTTGTTATCCGATAGTAGAATGCATTTTCTTTCCAGATCTTCTGCAACCTCCCACATTTTATCATTCTCATCTCCCGTTTCTGAATCCTCATTTTTTTTCTCGCTTCCAGGTGACCAATCAAGAGGCTGTAGACATCGCGCGGTCGTGCCTGGAACCAGAGATCAGAGCATACAAGCGCAACAACCCTCCCTCCCACAAAACCAGTGCATCCTCCCTCTCCTCCCTCTCCACCATCCCCTCCTTCTCCTCTACCTCCACCGACTCCTCTCTCACTCTCAACTCCCTTAACTCGGACGGCAAAGAATCTGCGTCTGATGATGGTCTGACAACACCGTCCCCAGATGCCCATCAGAGCATCAAGCTCAACCCACTGGTCCTAAAAACGCCTCGAGAGCGTTCGGGCAGCTTTTCTGCTTCTGTTGCGACTCTGAAGCAGGTAACCGAATCAGCCCAAGAAGGGGATAACCAGGGCCCAGATCTTGCCGCCTGCTCTCCCACCGAGGAATCTGACGTGTCCTCCAGTAGTGAAGACTCGGGGAATGAGGAGAGTGAGGAGGGGAATGACGAGGGGAGTGAGGGGAGTGAGTCTGAGGGTGTTGCTGGCATGCAGGGGAAAGCGCTAGGAACCGAAGAGTCGGTGAAATCCGCACTGCTGCTGGCGTGTCAGAAATTGGTGGAAGCTGCTGGGAAGCGAGGCAGCTATGATGACACGAGTGTCATGGTCGTATCACTGGCGCACTACATGGTCTGACATGGCCGTTAAGATTGAAGCGATTTGCCGTCTGCTGGTCCTCACATGGTCCGCGGACACGAGTGTCATGGTGGTATCGCTGGCAGAGTTCAGGGTCTGATGCCGCATGGTCGGTTGGGTTGACGATGTGACTTTTGAGTCGACTCAAAAGTCATCTGAGTTCAGGGTCTGATGCCGCATGGTCGGTTGGGTTGACGATGTGACTTTTGAGTCGACTCAAAAGTCATCTGAGTTCAGGGTCTGATGCCGCATGGTCGGTTGGGTTGACGATGTGACTTTTGAGTCGACTCAAAAGTCATCTGAGTTCAGGGTCTGATGCCGCATGGTCGGTTGGGTTGACGATGTGACTTTTGAGTCGACTCAAAAGTCATCTGAGTTCAGGGTCTGATGCCGCATGGTCGGTTGGGTTGACGATGTGACTTTTGAGTCGACTCAAAAGTCATCTGAGTTCAGGGTCTGATGCCGCATGGTCGGTTGGGTTGACGATGTGACTTTTGAGTCGACTCAAAAGTCATCTGAGTTCAGGGTCTGATGCCGTATGGTCGGTTGGGTTGACGAGACCTGCGAGCGTGCTGGTGTTGGAAACTGAGGTCCTGGTCCGAAGCTGCTGTTGGAGACCGCTGCAAAGCGAGGCAGCAAAGCGAGGCAGCAAAGGGAGGCAGCTTTGATGACACCACTGTCATGGTCCGCTACATCCTACAATGCAGCCACTTCGAGTGTAGCCAGTTGGTTACCCAACTAAAGGGACCGAAAGTGCGCATGGTAGATGGCATATGGCCACCAAGTGTTGGCATACACTCATGGCACAGTAAGCTGCCCTGCGGGTGACATGTTTTTCCTTTTTTTACCCAAGTCTATTGGGTTATCTACCTCCATCCACCCGTATATTGTATACACTTTTCTTCATTTAGTGGTGCAAACCTTGAGGAAATAGTCTCCTTTTATTGAAGTAAACCATGTGTTTATAGAGTGGTATATTCAACACCTGTAACACTTAGTTCCCCCACTTATCAGAAGTGCCCCTCGCGAGACTTGCGCTGTATTATGGTGTGGAGTGCAAACGGTAAGCGAGTTGGTTCCACGAGGTTCACTTCAGTGCAGCACAGGTAGTACTAATAGACATGATAAGAGGCGCATTTGATAAGGGGTTGTAGGAACACGCCCGAAAGGAATGCAAAAAACATGTAGTACATGAAAGCAAGAAAGCACCCCTGACAATCCTTGCTGGGAGGTGCTTGATTTCTACCAAGTAGCAGGGGCAAGCAATGGCAGAGGCTCTTTCTGGAGCAGGGCTCATCCCAGCACCGCATGGGCGCTGGCAAATAAGAGGTGAGTGAGTGAGCAACTGGGTGAGTGAATGAGGTGAGTGAGTGACAGCAAGGTTAGGAGACAGTGCGGCCGTAACTGACAGACGCAATGTACAGATTCTTGGCCCACTTCTCCTGCAAATAAGACAAACCATGCCACCCCATGCCATGCCCACACCATGCCACACACAATACCATGCCATGCCATGCCATGCACAGTGCCATGCCACAACATGCCAAACCAGAAAGGTGTTCGAACAGGAGAGCAGTCGAAGAAAAGGGCATGTGAGAACGATGCGAAGAACTCACTAGGCCTTGAAATGTGCACTCCCCTGCACTTGTGTGCTCACCTGCACTTTTGTCCTCACCTTGACATGAGTGCCTTGACACGAGTGCTCACCTTGACACGAGTGCTCACCTTGACATGAGTGCTCACCTTGACACGAGTGCTCACCTTGACATGAGTGCTCACCTTGACACGAGTGCTCACCTTGACATGAGTGCTGGGAAAAGCAGACGTTCGCAGAGTCTCCTGTGTTTCATCAGCCGGCCGTCTCCTTGGCACGGAGAGCAGGAAGGCTGCTTGGTCCCACGTGGCGGCGGTGGCGGTGATTCGATACCCCATGTCCCACCGCCGGTGAATGCCCTCGCTGGGGTATAGAAAGTCCAGCTCCACCACCTGCTTACAACGAGAAGATGGGAGGGTGATGGGGGAGAGTAGAGGGGAACAAAGGGGAGTGACACAACACGTTATGTCCCACCCACCTCTTGACCACTGACATTGACGTTGGAATCAATGTTGAGAATCGACATAGACAATAGCAGAACACATACAGAAGTTGCACGACACAACATATGTTATTTACCTCGTGGGTAAACCCCACGCTTCGCGACATGACGACACACCATCTGCTGCGGGGAGTATCCCGCACAACACATACGGATGAAAGAACATTGACGAGCATTGTTCATAACATTGACTAACGCACCTGGTCAGTGAATCCTGCGTTTCTTGACATGACAACGCCCCATCTGCTGCCCGCCGTGGCCATGGAAGTAACGTAAAAGCCCTCCTTCCACTTCTTGTTGATCCACTTGAAGGGGAAGCTGTCGCTCACCTTGTACGACTGCTGTGTGTACGGCGTGCCTGGAGGATGGGGGGGAAGAGAGAGAGACACACATAGAGAGGGACAGCGCACAGGGGAGTGGGAGGGTTGCTTGCAGATGGGCCAGACCAGCTGTCGCTGGAAAGCGGTGGCCATGGAGGTGAGGTAGAAGCCCTCCTTCCACTTCTTGTTCATCCACTTGAAAGGGAAGCTGTCGCTCACCTTGTACGACTGCTGCGTGCACGGCGTGCCTGGGGGGGGGGAGAGAAAAGGAGAGGCCAATATGGCAACTGCCACTTGAAGGGGAAGCTGTCGCTGGCCTTGAACAACTCTTGATGTTTACCGTGTGCCTGGTGGGTGGGAGGGAGGGTGTTACAGGGTAGTGGGGGGTTAAGAGGGGACACAAATGGTGAGAGGGGGGAGGGGGGGAGGCTGATAGGACAGGCTGCCACTTGAAAGGGGAAACGCTGGCGCTGATTTTGCATGTCCACTGCGTGTGCGGCATGCCTGGAGGGTGGGGGGGAGAGGGCGAGTGAAACAAATCGCACGCACAGCAAGAGGGAGCGAGGGAAATCAGACAGACTGTCACTTGAAAGGGCACACCGATCGGCACACAGATCAGCACACCGATCGGCACACAGATCGACACACAGATCGACACACCGATCGGCACACAGATCGGCACACAGATCGACACACAGATCGACACACCGATCGGCACACAGATCGGCACACAGATCGGCACACAGATCGACACACAGATCGACACACCGATCGGCACACAGATCGGCACACAGATCGGCACATAGATCGGCACACAACATGGCAAATACCAGGGGACACACAGAGACACACACCACAACATGCACCACGCAATGATCGGTCAGCAACAACCCCCCTGCAAGCACCCGCACCTTTGGACATGACAACGAGCGCGTTGCCGTTACTGGCGCCTGCCACCGCAGTGATGTAGAAATTCTTCTCCCACTGCTCCATGATCCACTCCTGTACGCGTTTCAAGGCAGAAAAATAAAAATAAAAGTCAAGCTAACCATGTTGCTGTGATGTAAAAATTCTGTCAAGACCAGCGAGAGGTCCTAGACGTGTGCCCAGAGGCTCTGATGTGCGCCCAGAGATTCTGGGCGCCCTTGGCGGGGAGACGAAGCTGCAGACTACTTCGGAAGGACGACGGACCCACCTTGGGAAGAAGGACATGCGAGAGGTCGTAGACTTGTGCTGTCAAGTTGGTGCCGGCATCCATGATGTGACGAGCGCCCTGAGGGTCTGACATGGCGGCCCGCTGCTGCTGCTGTGCAGCCCCTAGGGGGGAGGAAACTCAGACTACCCTCAGGGCAGGAAGACGGACCCACCTTTGGCAGGAACACGTGTGAGAGGTCGTAGACTTGCGCCGTGAAGTTGGTGCCGGCGTCCATTATGAGCGCCCAGAGATTCTGACACGACGCCACGCTGCTGATGTGCAGCCCGTCCTCGTTGCCCTTCTCCACGTGCTGCGCTAGCCGGGCGTCCGCCACGTTGTAGTGGTACCTGGTGTTTAACACAAGGTCATGGGCAGGAGGGGGCGGGCGTCTGACACGAGGCCCCGCTGCTGATGTGCAATCCGCCCCCCTTCTCCACATGCTGGGCCACTCGGGCTTCGGCCACCTTGTAGTGGTACCTGGCACGGAGCACGTGGGAGGGGAACCGGAAGGAAGGGGGGTTCCTGGCACCACACTGCACTGCTGGTGGTGAGTGAAGCCTTCGGTCCTCGTTGCCCTTCTCCACGTGCTTTGCTAGCCCGACGTCTGCCACATTTTGACGGTACTAGCTGAGGGAAGTCTAGTTTGAGGCGCCTCAAAGCTAGCCCGACGTCTGCCGCATTTTGACGGTACTAGCTGAGGGAAGTCTAGTTTTGAGGCGTCTCAAAGCTAGCCCGACGTCTGCCACATTTTGACGGTACTAGTTGAGGGAAGGGAAGGAGGAACCGTCCACTTCATGGGGCGGCAGAGGCACATCTCGCACTCTGGAACGCACTCATCTCGCACTCTGGAACGCACTCATCTCGCATCGACGGTGACCTTGACAATTGAGCCTTTGGATTGACTCCGAAACCGCTGTCTGCCTCCCCACCTCTTCTTTACCAGTTGTCTTGCACGTGCACCAGTGGGTCCGCGTGTAGACCCACCTGTTGTCTTGCGCTGTACACGGAGACCCACTGCGTCGCCGGCATGCCCACCACACATTCTTCCCCTTTGGCTGATAAACCCTTCAAGTTCTCTCCCTGTTGCCATTGCAATGCTTCACCCTAGAACGCACCTCTGCTTCATTGCCTCAATGAAGCACCCTACCTTTGCCTCATGAAGCACCCTACCTTTGCCTCATGAAGCACCCTACCTTTGCCTCATGAAGCACCCTACCTTTGCCTCATGAAGCACCCTACCTTTGCCTCATGAAGCACCCTACCTTTGCCGCATTGCCCGTCTGCCACCCTGCCTCTGCCTATTGGGCCGCCGGGTGCTCTGCTGCACGGAGATCCACTGAGTGGCTGCCTGGCATGCCCACCCGCGCCTTCTCCTTCTGTAGCTGGTGAGACCTTTGACGCTGTGTGCCAACCTAATTTGCCATGCCACAACGCACCGTTGCTTCATGGGCCGCCGAGCGCTGTAGACTGAAATCCACTGCGTCGCCGGCATGCCCAGCCGCACCTTCTTCCTCGGCTGGTCGTCCCCAGCCGACTCCTCGCCCTCGTTCCCTCTCCCCCTCTTCTGCCCCACCTGCTCGTGGCAGCATGGGAAGCACAAGGCGATATGACAGCAGGACATGATAAATACGGCAGCACGGGAAGCACAAGCCGATAAGACAGCAGGACACGGCGAATAACTGAGGCGATGCTGACATGCGCACCACGAGTTTTGGGAATGCCACCAACCTTCAAAGAGAGGGCCCTATCTGTATTGAGGGGATGAAGAGCTCAGAGCGGGCGGCTTGGGGCTGAGTATAGAATAAAAATAGGCAGCGGGGTTGGCTTACTCGGGGCGCTCGTTGAACTTGTGGAAAACCACATACTCGAGGAAAGCTTGAAGGGCCAAAGCGATAGAAGGGGCTTTCAGGGGCTTAAGGGGATTGAAGGGGCTTTAAGGGCATGTGTCTTACAGTTCCGCTGCTGGACATTCCGGAACTAGTTCCACAATTGACAAAGCTTTTGCCCGGGGAGGACCTCGCGAAGCCTTATTGCAATGAGCTGCGAAACGTGTAACCAACCCAAGTTCCGGAACTTGCCGGGTTCCGGAACTGTAAGACACACGCCCTAAGGGGCTTGAAGGGGCTTTCAGGGGCTTGGGGCTCACAGCACAACATAGCCGGGCGTACCACTGGCGCTCACCTTGAGCGATAGAGCCCCTTCCGTGTTCAGCGGATGCAGAGCCGGGTTGGGGCTCAGGATGGAGTCGAACATGGCGGCGCACTTGGCGTAGTCGGGTCGCTCGTCGAACTTGAGGGAGACGACGTACTCGAGGAAGAGCTTGAA